CTGGCTGGGGAATTCTGGGAGTTGAAGTCCACGCATTACAAAGTTGCCAAGGTTGAGAAACACTGGTATAGGACCTCATTTCTCCAAGGTATGAAATTATAGTCTACTAATTAAGATTATTAGTAGAATCTTCTTTAAGTAGCATCTCTATCTTCCCCTTCTCACCATCTTCTCTTTCCCAGCACAGCAAACGTGAGCAATTACCATCAGGGGCTTGAGGCCCAGATTTAAGGAGGGGGGAAAAAAAACTTCTTAAAAACCGGTGCTGAAGTTTCATCCAAACATAAAGCAGAATGTCCACTAACCTGGACGGCCGAATCACAGAACGGTTACCTTTGATAAGCGCAGGTTCCACCCTGCGATTTGGACATTTTATTTTATTTTCTCAAGTCCATCTCATGCCAGCCACTCTGGGCAGCTAACACAATTTAAAACTATTGCGGGGGGGGGGAAGCAATGTATCGATCGGTTTGCTTGTTTGTGTCTTTATTTATTCAGTCAATGGATATGGCTGCCCGTTGGCCGAGCACGCACGCTCCCTTTTCCTTGGCCGTCTCAGTTCGTTTATTGCCTGCTTCTGCTCTTTTCCAGATTCTTGACCTACTACCCCGGGAGAAGGATCACTGCCGAAGACGGCTTAAAGCACGAATATTTCCGTGAGACCCCGCTACCCATTGACCCCTCCATGTTTCCAACGTGGCCAGCCAAAAGCGAACAGCAGCGAGTGAAACGGGGTACAAGCCCACGGCCCCCAGAAGGAGGCCTAGGGTACAGTCAGCTGGTAAGTCCACCCAGGGAATATCATTGTAAAGAACCAAATCTTTGCTGGTTGAGGAGAGAGGGTGTTTTTGACGGGGTGGGGGAAGGAAAACCACTTTGGATCATGACTTGGGGAGCTTAAAACACAACCAGATACCTGCCATTACTCGAGTCTGTATACCGCAGAGGGCTAAAGGAGTATTTATGGTCGGCTAACAATGGACCAGGGGTTGTGGGGGGGGTCAAAAGCAACTTTTCCTTAGCGCTTTTCTGCCAAGAGGCAAATGTTAAGCAGTCAGCAGGATTAGACACCTACGCGTGGAACCTTTTGCCACGTGTGACTTGCAGGGCAGATTGAAAACCTCTCTGCTTAAAAAAGGTCTTCGGTAGCAGCAAAAGGAGGGCCCCAGTGAGAGAATATGGCTTTAATGCTGATTTTCCCAGGAAAACTTCTGTAAATTCAGGAAACTTCTAGCTAGATGGACCAGAGAGTAGCTTGTGAATCTCAAAAGTCCCGCTTTAACCATCCTGAAGATTATTCCTCCTCCTGTTTGATTCTGTCTAATCTTCTCTGAAGGCCATGTAAGTTGGCGTCTGCTGCTATATCATGTGGCAGTGAGTTCCGCAGTTAGCTGTTGGAAGAATGTCCTTTTTCCAGATCACCCACTCTTCAGTTTCCTTGGATGATCCCTGTCTCCTGCTTCTCTCCATGTAATTCCTCCACGTGTTGCCTGATTTCCTGAACCTCTGTTGCCACCCACTCTGACCGCACCCATCTTTTTTCCCCTAAACTGAAAGGTCTTGCGGAAGCTGTTCCAAGTCCTCAGTTATATGACTGTCTACTGCTTTGAGGCTTCTGGATCACGTACAATCCGACCCGTTTGCATGAGGCACAATGAGTGTGATGGCTTTCTTTTTCATCCCTTGGCTAACGATTTTTACCATGGATTTCTAGAATATTTGACCCAAAATGTATCATAACTTTGCCCTGAACATTTGCCAGGTCGAAAAACTCTGCTGCTTTTTGCGATATGTTGTCTCTATTATCATCATCATCATTATTATTGTCATTATTAGAAATCCAGCTGCTATTATTAGAGATCAAATCCAGCTCCTTGGTAAAAATCCTGCTAATTTATTCTGAGATCTCTCATTTTCTTCTGCCTTTCTGTTTCCTGCCACTTAGCTAATACCCACCCATTACAGGATTTCGTCCTCTCCTCCCCGATTGCAAAATGTATTGTGGTCTCGGTGGTGAAACATTTTATCTGAAGCCTTGGCAAGCTTCCTTGGAATTCCCTAGCAGCCGTCCACAATCTGCAGATAACCATACACTGATAGAATATTTACACATCTGGGGTGTGTGTGTCCTTTTGCCTTCCCAGGGTGACGATGACCTAAAAGATACTGGTTTCCATCTGACGACCACAAACCAAGGAGCGTCCGCAGCAGGACCTGGTTTCAGCCTGAAGTTTTAAACAGAGGGGCCGGAAAATCTTTAGAGCGAAAGCAGAAGGAAGCGAATTCTTGTTCTCTGTGGGGAACGTTGGCAAGCGTCGTGCTTTTTACGGAAGGCTGCTTTGATTCTTTGCAGAATATTTTCTGCAGTCGGGACCTGCTTCTGGGTCAGAGTAGAGAACGTTGGATTTCGTTCCAAGGGTTGGAATTATTGTGAAAAGCCAAGGACCCTTTTGGGAAAAACCACCACTACCGTCACCATCATCACCACAAAATCCCAGATAACTTCAGGAACTATTTTTTTTTTTTTTTAAAAAAACCTCTTGTTTCTATTTATGTTTTCCCATTCAGATGGGTTTTGTTTTTTCTCGCTTGTACATATGTAGAATAAAAAGAAAATGATTTTTAATTGTTTACTCGGTGTAAATTACCTTGTTTTCTTCCCTCACTTCGATCTTTGGCTTGCCCAAAAATAGATTGCATTTTAACACTGGGTACACTCCTATTTTCACCCTCCATTCCAAAACCACTTTGCTCCCTTCAGAATCACCTAATTGTGTCTCTCAATACACATAACAGAATGAGCTAGGAATTATAAGGTAGTGAGTTAAAGAGGATAAAAGATCTAGCTTTCAACTGGTCCCTGTTCTGGCTTATCGATTTCTCAGCCCAGAAAGAAGAAAGATACGTAGAAAGAAATGTTTGGAGATCTGCATGTAATGTTTTTACCGCTCTTGGACATGGAGAAAAATTCAGCGAAACTTTCTGATCCTCTCAAGGATGAATTTTTTAAAAAAGTGGAAAGTTAAGTTTCTAGCCTTCTCTGCAGGTCTTAAAAGGGTTGCCCACTCGCTGAGTTGGGTGGCTGCCTTGAAAATGTGGTGATACGTCACATCAGTTGCTGTGTGTGAGAGTGGGAGAGGAGAAAGAAAATGCAAATCGTAATAGCATAATTTGGCTTTTTGCAATGCCTCTGGTCTAGTTGTTAGCGGTCAACCGTGCTGTAAGGTAAGTTATTACTTTCAAGATCTGTGTTTCAAACGCAGATGCCTCCCAGTTCAGGTCAATTTTAGACACAACTTTCTTTGCCCCTTTCTTCAAACAGACCAAGGGCCAGCGGAGGATCCCTATTCCAAACAGCAAAAGCTGTGCAGAGGCCCGGAGAAGAGAATAGTTGTGTGTTAAAGAAAATGGATTAAATTTTGCAGTGCCTTCTGAATGCAGAAGCACCCAGCAGGACTGTTTTGGGGTTATATGAATGCCTCCTGTCCAACCATTAATAAATCTTTGAGGGAGATACCAACAGCCTGGAAACAAATCCGTAACTCCGCGTAGAAGAGAACATAAGTCGGGTCCTGCTGCATTACACAACACAGTCGTAGAGTTGGTCAGCCTCATGAATTTCTAAATTAAAAAAGAATAAACGTGACACCCTTTAGCAGTGAGTTCCAACCGTTAACTTCCTCTTGGGCCTTAGTTGTGTTCTCAAAGCCAGTCATTTAATACATATCTATTTTAAGCGGGCTGCTGTATTGAAAATTCCCTTTTTTTTTTTTTTACTTTTGTACTTCAGGAAAAGATGAACAGAAAGTTGGACAAAGAACGTTCTTGTTGGGTTGGAAAAGCGTTATAAAATTGAACTCTTTTTTGGCAGGGTTCCCTGTTTCCTCTAATATACACCTAAGGTTGCTTTTACAGCAGTAAGTACCTGCATACTATCAGCCAATGTGTTGTCAGTGTGCTACAGGCCACCACAAAGTAGTGAATGTCATGTGTTGTTTTCTCCTGTATTCATTGTCCCTAGTCCTTGTCTTCTTATAGACCCCCAAAATTGGATTAATTGGATAAACTGTAATTCAGCCAACCAAGGATTAGGGTGTCTTATGAATCGCTTTGCCTTGTTATTTGCCCAAGGACCTTTCTGTGGTTTACTGGGTCCAACGTGGGGGGTTTGTGAGACCCACGAAACCACAAATAAGTTACATCGCGTGGGCTGGCACAATAGCTAGGCTAAAGTGCTTAGTAGCAGATTATCTTGAGCAAAACCTGATCAGAGTATGCACTGATGGTTTTTAATGCCTAATATTCTCTAATGTGGCTTATTAACACCATCTGTTGCCCAATAATGTCTAGGCCTTCTAGTGTTGCTTATTAACACTGTTTGTTGCCCAATAATGTCTAGGTCTTCTTTGTATGACACACTGAGCTGAGTGAGTGGTATCATGAACCCCATAACCCAGTGTTTCTCAACCTTGGCAACTTGAAGACATGTGGACTTCAATGCTCACCAATTTTACCAA